CCCCCAAAATAGCAAGTCGAAGGTCCAACCGGTCAAGTCAACAGTACAAGCATTTAATGAAGCTGTCTTCTACACTCCAACGGGAAGACTGCTCCCAGTATATAAGATACACTCTGAAGAACTACCAGGATAACTTTTGCTACACGAACTTGCTCAGATTATTCACTCAGAACTAAATACCTTCAAGCTTTCTTGAGATCAAAGATTCACTTACCCCAACAAGAAAAGCTCAAGTTGGAAGATATACTTTCTTATTCTTCAACCAACTAACAAGTAGCAAAGTTCCTCAGTTCTTCAACACTTCGAAAACTTCATCTACACATCCTTTGTGAAGAAGCAACGTTGGAGAAAACTGATCTTGAATCAAACACTTCTTGAAAAAGAAGGGGCGTCTCAAACTGACTGGAGTAAGTGAAGTGGTGATACTTCCAAGAGACTCAGTGAAACGAGACCAGCCATCAGGAAGCAAGACTGCATCCTGGGTGGAAACTAGGCTTGAAGAAGACGTGGAGAGCTTCTTAAGTTCTAGGGACTAAGGCGTTGTAAACTGTTGTTTTTGCAAGCTTAGTGGAACAGTGGACTAGAGGAACAAGTTGTTCCTTGAACCACTATAAAAATCCCCGGTGTCATTTACTTTACTCATTTTATTTCTGTACTTAAGATCTTGACTGATTAACTCGAAAGGTTGGACTCTGTGTTCAGCAGATCTTCCTCAAGAGTTATCAGAAAGGCATTTGCCTTAGCGTTTTCAGAGGCTACCCGGACAGAAACCAATCCGCTGCCAGGTCCAGTTTTGCCATCAGAACTTGACCTTCTTTGTCACCAGAATTCGACCATCTCTGATAAGTCAGCTGTGACTTAGAGAAAAGTTTAAATTCCTGAACAGTCTATTCACCCCCCCCTCTAGACTGTTCCCATTACAAACGGGACCAACAAGAACCAAGTATGAACACAGAAGGAATTTGCAGAGTAGCTGGAAGTGTTTTTAGCTCAAGAAAACGTGAGGAGTGTATTGTGTGTTGTGTCTTGTTGCAAACCACCTGCCAGCCTTTTATAAGAGGATTTGTTGTGTGTTAAATGCGGTGTTAATGGACATGAACGTTGGACATCAATGACCAGTCCGTTGGGCATTGAATCATCCACAAACTGTCCATTGAACGCAGCATTAAAAGATAAGAACGTTGGGCATTAACTTTCGTAACGGTAGAATTGCGCGAGAGAAGACCCCCAACAGAACACCACCTTTGAGGGGTTCTGCCCGACGCCAACAAAACACCCCTTCGAGGGGTTCTGTCCGGAGCACTTCTGGGAAAAAATAAACGTTTCGGGAAGAAAACAAAAATTAACCGTATCTCTTGAGAGATAGATTTTTGGACGACATTCGTGTCCGCAGGTCGCTCGCGCACACGAGTCGCGGTTTTTCTTCTCCGTTTCGGGATTTGATCGGCACCCCCCCTGCGCGTAAGAGAGAACCTTTACCTTTAGGAATCTAGAAACCCATCATTTTCCCAGTTTTTCCATTTCAACGAGTGAACTTCGAGAATCAATTTCTCATTCACCCGTTATCCGTTTTGAGTGTACCACATATCGAATTGTAGCCCTTAACAAGGACAATCTGAAACCACTTTAACCCGACCCAAATCGGAAGTGGACCCCACTCAAATAATTGCCCCAAAATGACCATTTAATGCAATTTTTAACACATTTTTCCAACAATCCCCCACATGAATGAAAATTGATTTTCGAGACTTAAAAAGACACGAAGATAGGAGGACACATTGTGTTCACTGGATGATCCTTGCATACGGAGAGGTAGGTTTTATCTTTTGAACCTTCCGCTGTAAAGACACGTTTATTTACTGGCTGTTTAGTAGACTCGATGTCCTTGAACTATACTGCCGTCGTGTAAACATTGACTTATCTTTACACAAGAACCTTCCAACTTTGTTCCGTTCTCATGGGTGTGCCCGTTTTGGCCATGGGTCACCGTCCTGGTTCTGCAAGAGTTTCTAAAGAACTGAGCCTATACAGTTCTCCTTTGAAGCAGCCCTCTTCTCTCTCAAATAGGTGATTCTTTTACGAGTATCTCACATACTCTTCCAATGTTATTGAGTAGATCAACATTTTAGAATCATTAAAGCAAACGTTTTTGCTAACCTCGTGCGGGAGTCACTGTTTTAAACGAGGAGTGGGTAGGAGTCCGAGACACCCACAGTGACCATCCTTCGCTCTATAGTTAAGTTGTCCCTTTTGAACCTAGGACCAACTAGGTTGGGTATCCACTATAGAATTTTTCAATTCACGGGCTTTAGTCTCATTCCTCGTGACAACTTCTCCAACAATTCTCTATCCAATGCCTTGGTTAGCGGATCCGCTATGTTATCCTTTGACTTCACGTAGTCAACAGTGATAACACCCGTTGTGAGGAGTTGTTTAATGGTGGTATGTCTACGACGAACGTGTCTAGACTTACCATTGTACATATTGCTCTGTACCCTTCCAATTGCCGCTTGACAATCGCAATGTATGCATATTGGAGGGACAAGCTTTTCCCAACTTGGAATATCCTCGAGAAAATGGCGTAGCCATTCAGCCTCTTCAGTGCACTTATCCAAGGCTATTAGCTCAGATTCCATCGTGGATCTAGCTATTAACGTTTGTTTCGAGGATTTCCACGACACGGCTGCACCTCCCAAAATGAAAACATATCCACTTGTGGATTTTGAGTCCTTAATGTCAGATATCCAACTAGCATCGCTATACCCTTCAAGTACAGCTGGATATCTTCCATAGTGCAGTCCAAGGTTTTGGGTTTTCCGTAAATACCTCAAAACCCTTACTATTGCCTTCCAGTGTTCATCACCGGGGTTGCTAGTATATCTACTAAGCTTACTAACCACAAAGGCAATATCAGGCCTGGTACAACTCATTAGATACATTAAACTGCCCATAATCCTAGCGTATTCTACTTGAGAAATACACTCTCCACGATTCTTGGTAAGTTGTACATTTTTATCTAATGGAGTCATTGCCTCCTGATAATCATCCTTATTAAATTTAGTAAGGATTTTATCAACGTAATGGGATTGGCTTAGCGTTAGACCGTCGGGTCCTCTAATTATTTTAATCCCAAGGATTAAATCAGCCAACCCCATATCCTTGATGTCAAACTTAGAATTTAACATGCTTTTAGTAGAATTAATCATTAGATTATTGCTACCCACGATGAGTATATCATCCACGTATAAACATAAAATGACATAGCCGTCTACCGTGCTCTTCGCATAGACACATTTGTCACTTTCGTTTATTTTAAACCCATTAATTAACATTGCATGATCGAACTTTTCGTACCATTGTTTAGGGGCTTGTTTCAATCCATACAATGATTTAATTAATTTACACACTTTCCTTTCTTGGCCTGGAACACGAAAGCCCTCGGGCTGTTCCATATAGATTTCTTCGTCTATATCGCCATTTAGAAAAGCGGTTTTTATGTCCATTTGATGAACTTCCAATTTTCGCAATGCGGCAATTGCTAGTATCATCCTAATGGAATTTATTCTCATCACAGGAGAATACGTGTCAAAGTAATCATGGCCATCACGTTGCTTGTATCCTTTGATTACAAGTCTGGTCTTGTACTTATCGATGGAACCGTCAGGTTTCATTTTCCGTTTAAAAATCCACTTGGATCCCAAAGGTTTATTTCCCGGAGGAAGATCAACCAATTCCCATGTGTGATTTTTAAGGATAGAATCCACCTCACTCTTGATGGCTTCTTTCCACATAGGACCTTCGGTAGACGTCACGGCTTCCGTATAAGTCCGTGGTTCATTTTCTACCAAACATGTTAGAAAATCCGGTTCATTTTCTGCCATACATGTTAGAATATCCGAGTCAAATTCTACCAAGTAGGTGAGAAAATCCGGTCCGAAGGTTTTTTCAACTCTAGCACGTTTGCTACGTCTGGGTTCGGGTTCTTCTTCGGAGCCCTCACTAGTATTTTCCATAGCTACGTCAAATGTTCGTTTTGACGTGCTTGGTCCTCCGTTGGACTTGCATGGAAATACGTCTTCAAAGAATGAAGCATTCCTTGATTCAATTATTGTGTTTTTATGTACATCCGGATTATTCGAATCGTACACTAAAAACCGATAGGCACTACTATTTTGTGCATATCCAATAAAAATACAATCCACCGTTTTTGGACTTATTTTTATTTTCTTAGGTGTTGGTACAAGCACCTTTGCCATCCACCGTCTGCCTTTCCACAACTCGTACGGAGTTTTATCATATTTTTTCCGGGGAACCTTATTTAAAAGGTAATTGCTTGACAAGACTGCTTCGCCCCACATATTTTGTGTCAGGCCCGAACTTACTAGCATCGCATTCATCATATCTTTCAATGTGCGATTCTTTCGTTCGGCAACACCGTTTGATTGAGGTGAATAGGGTGTGGTACGTTCATGTACTATACCCACACTAGCGCAAAAGTCACCAATTGGTGCTTCATACTCACCACCTCAATCACTCCTAACCGTCTTAATCCGTCGATTAAGTTGGTTTTCCACTTTATTCTTATAAAGAATGAATTTATCGATTGCTTCGTGTTTATTTTTTAATAAATAAACGTAGCTATAGCGAGTGCTATCATCGATAAAGGTAATAAAATATTTATTACCGCCACGTGTTTGTATTGATTTAAAATCACAAACGTCACTATGAATTAATTCAAGTGGTTCCGTTTTTCTTTCAACTAATTTGAGAGACGTTTTCTCTAGTTTTGCCCCTACATAAACTCCACATTTGTGCTTCACATCAATTGTGAATTTAGGAATGTGTTCCATGTTAATTAATCTACGTATAGAATTAAAATTAACATGTCCTAGTCTATCATGCCACACATTGGAAGACTCAAGCAAGTAAGCAGAAGGTATTTTATTATTATTATTAATAATATTCATTACATTGAGCTTAAACAGCCCATCACATGTATACCCCTTGCCCACATACATTCCCGACTTAGACAAAACCAGTTTGTCCGACTCAAAGACCATACGGAAGTCATGCTTGTTCAACAACGAGCCCGAAATCGGGTTTTTGCGTATCTCCGGAACGAACAGCACTTGGTTGAGAGTCAGCTCCTTGCCCGAAGTCATCTTCAGGACCACCTTGGCCACGCCTTCAACCGCAAAATGAGCCGAGTTACCCATCCACACTTTCTCACCATTTGATGGCTCAAAAGTTGTGAATAACTCCCGGTTTGAGCAAATATGCCGGGTTGCACCGGTGTCCACCAACCACTCCTTGGAATTGGATCCAATGAGGTTGACTTCCGTAACCACAACCGCTAGGATGATGTCTTCATCCTTTTGCCCACCTCGCACCAAGTTGACTTAGGAGTCTTTCTTCTTCTTCCGTGGTGCCTTGCAATCCGAGGACTTGTGTCCATTCTTGTTGCAATTGAAGCATTTTACATTAAACTTTGTCTTGGAAACGCCTCCCTTGGGACCGAGCTTGCTCTTCCCATTATTCTTGGTTTTGGAGCCTTTTGCATGCTCCACCACGTTTGCCTTGGCGCCATGAACAATTGGGAGTTTCCCAGCGTTCTTCCGGTTATCCTTTCGCTTATGCTTAAGGTAGTTCTTGAAATCCTTCCAAGCCGGCGACAATAAATGAATAATTGACGCCACTTGGAATGACTCACTAACTGTCATTCCTTCATCTCGAATTTCATTGAAGATCATTTGCATCTCCTCAACTTGACTCAAGACCGTCTTCGAATCCACCATTTTAAAATCAAGGAATCGACCAACAACAAATTTCTTTGCGCCGGCATCCTCGCTTTTATATTTGTGGTCCAAAGCATTCCATAGCTCCTTAGGCGTAGCTAGTTTGCTATATACATCGTACAAAGCATCATGCAGCCCGTTGAACACATAGTTTCGGCAAAGGAAGTCCGAATGCTTCCATGCCTCAACCGCGTTGAAAGATTGCGCATCCACCTCACCCCCGGTTGCTACCGGCGCATCCTCGGTCAAGAACCTCGCAAGACCGAGAGTAGTGAGATAGAAGAGCATCTTTTGCTGCCACCTCTTGAAGTTTAACCCATTGAATTTCTCGGGTTTCTTCTCAGGGTTGCTTGGCACGGTCACCATAGGGATAGCCCTTTGGTTGGCCAAAGCAGATGCACCGCGTTGTGAACTATTGTTCACCAGTGCTCCACTTTCAGAGTGATTGTCATTTAGAACATTCTGCCCAACACCAATCTCGTTTTCTTGAGAAGTCATTTTCGTTTCTTAACGTTTTCCGAAAACACCAAAAAATAAGTTCGTTCACCAAAGTGACAAACTACGATTTATGATTGTTTACCACAGTAGAACAATCATCAAATACGTTTTAAGATTGTTGGGTGTGTTTCGGAAAATAAAGGAAATTAATTAAAATAAATTAATTAAATAAAATGACTAGAGAAAAACAAGAAAGGAGATAAAGCAGAATTAGTCAAAGCTCGTGCTACACACGATGTCCTTAAAACGTATTTGTTGCCTCCCACAGTGCTAGGAGCGTTGCAACAATTGTTTCCGAGGATACGATGATTACGAACTAATGTTTCAGCACATAAACAAGCGTTCCAGTGAACGAGAACCAAGTATGAACACAGAAGGAATTTGCAGAGTAGCTGGAAGTGTTTTTAGCTCAAGAAAACGTGAGGAATGTATTGTGTGTTGTGTCTTGTTGCAAACCACCTGCCAGCCTTTTATAGGAGGATTTGTTGTGTGTTAAATGGGGTGTTAATGGACCTGAACGTTAGACATCAATGATCAGTCCGTTGGGCATTGAATCGTCCATAAACTGTCCATTTAACGCAACATTAAAAGATAAGAACGTTGGGCATTAACTTTCGTAACGGTAGAATTGCGCGACAGAAGACCCCCAACAGAACACCCCCTTTGAGCGGTTTTGCCCGAAGCCAACAGAACACCCCTTCGAGGGGTTCTATCCGAAGCCAACAGAACACCCCTTCGAGGATTCTGTCCGGCCAACATAACACCCCTTCGAGGGTTCTGTCCGAAGCCAACAGAACACCCCTTCAAGGGGTTCTGCCCGACGCCACCAGAACACCATACCGAGGTGTTCTGGTCGAGGCCTTCTGTCCGGAGCACTTCTTGGAAAAAATAAACGTTTCGGGAAGAAAACAAAAATTAACCGTATCTCTTGAGAGATAGATTTTTGGACGGCATTCGTGTCCGCAGGTCATCCGCGCACACGAGTCACGATTTTTCTTCTCCGTTTCAGGATTTGATCGGCACCCCCCTGTGCATAAAAGATAGTCTTTACCTTTAGGAATCTTAATTCATTAAAAGAGGTTTCCCTTTATAAGGGGGTGAAAATCCCTTGAGTTTTCCGGTGTGGGATAAAACACACTAGAAATCCATCATTTTCCCAGTTTTTCCATTTCAACGAGTGAACTTCGAGAATTAATTTCTCATTCACCCGTTATCCGTTTTGAGTGTACCACATATCGAATTGTAGCCCTTAACAAGGACAATCCGAAATCACTTTAACCCGACCCAAATCGGAAGTGGACCTCACTCAAATAATTGTCCCAAAATGATCATTTAATGCAATTTTTAACACATTTTTCCAACATATATTGAAAGGAATGAACAAATATGTGAGAAGAATGAAAAAGAACAAAGAAGAAAACAGGGAGCGGGGAAAAGGGGGAATATGGACTGGTCGAAACATGAGATCTCAGAGGAATGAATCCAAGAGTGAAGGAAAAAAAACGAAGGTAAACTTGACCACGTGGATCACCACATATGCAAATTAACTTGGTAACCGGTTGTTTACCGGATAAAAGTGAGATTTGAGCGTTTTTGCAAAGAATTTAATTTACTTTTTAAGTATAATAGGAGACTTATTTCACAGTTTTCCGATGATTTAACCTGGAACAGGGTTATTTTGTATGGAGTAACAAACAGTGGTCAAGTCAAATATAGAAATGACTGCTTTCACTTCTCAGATGCGCTTAGCAATTTCATCCTGAGTTACTTTGATTTGCTTTCTCAGTTTAGATTGGCAGTGACTAATGGCGAACGGAGCTCATGCCGAAGATAAAACTCTACAATCCATCTGCTACAAACGCGGCTCTCTCCAGCTCCTTGATCAGGTCCTCTTTCTCTCACTTTCTTGTGCGCTTCTCTTTGTTCTCCAACTGATTTTTGGGTTTGCCATAAGGATACGTCGTGGTTTTGATTTAACTCTAGGCTTGTATTATGTACGGAGTATTTCCTTATTTTATCGAAAAGACCGATTTTTTAGAATAGTTATTGTCTATAATAACTTGAAAAGGGATATGAAGTTTCAAAAGGCCGATTTTTTTGAAAAGTTATTGTGTATAATAACTTGAAAAAGGGGGATGAAGTTTCATAACTTGAAATCGACTGAGGTTATCATGAAAAAGAAATGGACAAAATGTCAAATATAGGTGGATGCTTAACTCGGAGATAGATAAAAAAATCCTGAAAATGCTAATTACTTCTGAAATCAGAGGAAAATGTTTACTTAATTTTTTCATTGTGAGTACATGAATGCTCATGTGCTATACTATAGTATAATTGTGGGTCATCCCAACTAAGATTCTCAAAGCCGTAATGAAAGTTACTCCAACTTTGTTGATTATGCACTATGATTCTGTGTCATCTTTTTTCCATCATATATCTTGTTTGTGGAAAAGAAAGAAAAAGGATTGCTCAGGAGGAATAGAACTTCATGGTGACCAAGAGAGCTAACTTTCCTTCCTAAAATGCGCAGAGAGCCTCAGGAGTAATTTAAAGTGGTTTGTGATATCTAGGAAGGAAAGGGGACTTGCTCAGTTGCTCCATGGAATTGAGCTAGATAAGCTTTTATGAAACTTGCTGAGTTTGATCTTGCATTTCACATCCCTTGGTCACATCATGATGTAAACTTAGGATTTGACTGCACATGCATTACTAATATCTGCTTACTCACCTTGATGTCATCCTTGACTCGTTGTATGTGATTGTGCCTAATTTACGGATTGTCTTATGTTTCTCTATGAGCAGAGGAAGCTTCCATTAGAGACAATTTATTTGGATATAAAAACTGCACAAGACGGATGGTAAATTTTGTAACATTTATCACTTCTTTTCACTTACATTATCAATCTTGTAATGAGACATGACTATAACTGCTAACCCGCACTTCTTTTCACTTACATTATCAATCTTGTAATGAGACATGACTATAACTGCTAACCCACTACCTCAACTCATCACCATCTTATACTACTATCCATGTAGAATGAAATAACTTATAATGATGACTGTTTTGGAATATTATCTCATTGTTTTTCGTAAGAACATTGTGACAGACTGGTTGTGTAAAATTTTGTGACCATGCTTTCTGTATGAATTACTATGGTAACTAATTTTAGAAAAAATTCTATATGCACCAATTGTAATCAGATGATTAATTCTACATGCACCAATTGCAATTAGTTGGAATTAAAGTGATAATGCTAATGCACATTGTTTAGTGCTATCATCTTTGACCTCGTCCACATCACTACATGTTGAGACTTAAGGATATTGGGAACTGGGATACTGCCATGATCGAGTACCCTCATTGGCATAGCAAGGACCTGAAAAGTTTTGAATTTGGGGTTGGACCAAAAACAGTTCATTCACATAAACTTATAAAAAATACCCATGAACAAAAAAGACTTTACTAAACTTGGGGTGGCTCCGGGTCTCCGGGGCTGGGTTTGCCCCCCTCCTGTTTTACATTGTGCATTTGTGCCATTACAAGCATCTATTTTATTTATTTATTATGGGAACACCTGTATTTGCTATGCATTAGGAACCCATCAAAACTTTACTTAATGCATTACTATGTAATTATTAATTTTCATGTGTGTGTGTGTGTGTGTGCATTAGGGATGCAATAAAAGAAATGGTAGTCCGGGGTGCACCTGCAATTGCTATAGCCGCTGCACTCTCCTTGGCTGTCGAAGCATCTAACATAGAGGCCTTTAATGGGACAGCTCAAGATGCAAAATCTTTCCTTAGCCAGAAATTAGAATACCTCGTCTCAAGGTAACTGTTTTGAAGAAGCATCTTTATTTGTATGATTCCTTGAATTTATTTTCTGATACTCTGCTAAATGGATCATAGAACAGAGTTTTCAACCATTAATTCTTTGCAGCCGCCCAACAGCTGTCAATCTGTCAGATGCTGCCACAAAGCTTAATGAAGTTATTCAGAAGGCAGCTTCAACTGCTTCAGAGACCAAAGCTGTTTTTGAGGTAGTCATACGGATGGCTGTAGTTTCACAATACACCCTGCAGCTACTCCATACTTTTACGCTATAGCTTGTTTGAATGGGGGTTAAGAGGGGAGCGAAGGGGATAGTTGTTTTTGTTTTACTAATTCATCTCTATTTGTTAGTCTTAGACTAGAAAATAATTATATGTTGGGTTACATAATGTATTTATGTTTATTATTTCACCTTCACTTTCTTCCAAGCATCTAAATGTAAGAAGAATTTATAAAACTACATTTCACACACACCCCTCCCCGATGAAATCCCCCAACTAAACTAGGGTATTAAGAGGTGCATTATATACCTTATGGATTGTAAAATGTACTATCTCTTTTCTCAACAAGTATAAATGATCTTAATATGTGTTCATAATCCTTGAAAGTCTGATAAAATTAAAAGGAATAAGTGATCTTACCCTTAGCCTTACCCTTAGCCTTACCCTTACCCTTACCCTTACCCTTACCCTTACACTTACCCTTACCCTTACCCTTACCCTTACCCTTACCCTTACCCTTACCCTTACCCTTACCCTTACCCTTACCCTTACCCTTACCCTTACCCTTACCCTTACCCTTACCCTTACCCTTACCCTTACCCTTACCCTTACCCTTACCCTTACCCTTACCCTTACCCTTACCCTTACCCTTACCCTTACCCTTACCCTTACCCTTACCCTTACCCTTACCCTTACCCTTACCCTTACCCTTACCCTTACCCATACCCTTACCCTTACCCTTACCCTTACCCTTACCCTTACCCTTACCCTTACCCTTACCCTTACCCTTACCCTTACCCTTACCCTTACCCTTACCCTTACCCTTACCCTTACCCTTACCCTTACCCTTACCCTTACCCTTACCCTTACCCTTACCCTTACCCTTACCCTTACCCTTACCCTTTACCCTTACCCTTACCCACCTTACCCTTACCCTTACTCTTACCCCCTTACCTTTACCCTCTTACCCTTACCCTTACTCTTACAGTCTTACTCTTATATTTTTTTATGGGATAAGTATCATATAGAGCTGTGTAGAACACACTTGTTATGCATTAGTTTGATTTATATCTCATTTAGTGCATCTTAATCACAGGCTTATATTGAGGCTGCTGAAATTATGCTGAAGGATGATGTTACTTCCAATAAAGCAATTGGGTCACATGGAGCATCTTTTCTACAAAATCAGCTAAAAGACTCTGGGAAGATATCAATATTAACCCATTGCAACACTGGCAGGTACTCTTCCATTAAAATGGGTAAAGAGTTCTTTATGGAGTTACTCTGATGTTTTTCAACCAATTGAATTAAACAGCCTGGCAACAGCTGGATATGGAACTGCTCTGGGTGTGATTAGGGCTGTCAATACTTCTGGAGCTCTGGAAAGGGCTTATTGCACTGAAACACGCCCTTTCAACCAGGTGAACTTGTATGTAATTATGTATAGCCCATGATGCAGGGAAACAGCATAACTACTTCACTACCTATTTTTTAAAAATCTAGAAAACGGAAATGGGGGAACATACAGTTATAAGCAATGTATATGTATTTATTTGTGTGTCATCACAAACAAACACTAAATTCATTATTTTATAAAACAGTAATTGCTCCCTGCTGTCAAAAAAACTGAGAGTTATATGCAAAATGCAATTTGTCCCGAAGAAGAGTCATATTTGAACAAAAGCATCTGATTTTTTAGTATACTTGATGTAATTTTTCAAATGAATAAGTTGTTACAAACAAGTTAAGTTTGTTAAATTTAGTTACACCAACTTATAAATTTTAAAATGTAGCTAAAATTAATTATCTGATAGTCTTAGCTTACTAAATGTAAAAGTTGCAGTTTGATGTGATATGAGTTTTTTGGGACAGAGATACAAACAACAACAACATCCAAGCCTTAATCCCAAAAGAATTTGGGGTCGGCTTGGGAGTTGGGACAGAGATAGTAGAAGCTTAATATGTCACGTTGTCAAAAACTAGTTCCACGGTTTGTTTTCACAAAATGTGTTTCTGAACTTTATAAAAATCAGAAATGACCCCAAATGTTTTGCGAATTGCATAAAAAGCCCCATAATATTTAAGGAAAGTTTCTGAGAATTGATTTCTGAAAATGACAAATGCTGGTCTCAGAAGTTTCCATGCATCATAGCATGTGGCTTGTACTGTATCTCATCATAGCTTGTGGTTTGTACTATATAAGCTCCAGTAGTATACCTGAAGACAGTGTACACTGTAAGTCCGCAAGTATGGTACATTATTTTACCAAGTTCTGAATTTATATATCAGGGGTCCAGACTGACAGCATTCGAGTTGGTTAGTGAAAACATTCCCGCCACCCTTATAGCAGATTCTGCTGCAGCTGCTTTGATGAAATCTGGTCGTGTGAATGCTGTCATTGTTGGAGCTGACCGTGTTGCTGCAAACGGTGCCTTATTAATATACTCTTCTGCTTCTTTAAGAAAACAGCAACATCATTCACAGTGAAGGAATTGCATGACATACTCTTAGTCTACTTAGTCTTATAGGGTACGTTTGGAACCAGGAAAATGCTAGGGAAAGAAAATACGTAAAAATAGAGGGGAAACATTGAAAGAAAGAAAATTTGAGGGGGGCAAAAAATGCATTCGAACTCAACAAATCAATTGTAGAAATTTGTTCGATCTTCAAACTCATTCTTTATATATTTCTATTATGTAAGAAATGTATGACGGACAAAAATAATGGACAGAAATATGACTTTTACATCATAGTACCACATTGTTTTAAGTGATAGTAGTGACCATGGTGATGTTTGATTTTACTATGCAGTGATCATGACGGTACTTGCGCAGTGATTGTAGTGACCATGTGATCATATTTTTGTCCATGACTTTTGCTTAATTAGTACGTCGTATAATTGGAAAAGCCTCATTACAAAAGATAAGAAATCTAAAAATCTGTAAAATCAAAGTACTTGTCAAATTTGATATTCCTTCTTATTGCAAGGTAAATACAAATATAAAAACTCATTTTGTGTAGCATTATATTGCTTTTCTTTACCATTCACCATGCTCCAAACATTGCCTTAGGTGATACCGCGAACAAGATTGGGACTTACAACCTTGCTGTTTGTGCTATGCATCATAATATACCATTTTACGTGGCTGCTCCCCTGACTTCTGTCGATCTATCTTTACCTTGTGGAGAACAAATTGTTATAGAAGAAAGATCACCTAAAGAGCTGTTGAATACACATGGAGGACTGGGTGAACAAATTGCTGCTTCTGGTATTTCTGTTTGGAATCCAGCTTTTGATGTTACCCCGGCAAGTTTAATAAGTGGCATAATCACTGAAAAGGTCAGCTTCTTATCTCTACGAAGGTAGTGTTTAACAATAAAAGCGATTTTTAAATAGCAGAAGTAGGAGAGCTGTTATAAAAAAAGAAAAACAGTTCTAAGCACCCTTTCTTTCCTTTGAGCTTTTAACTCAAAGTGTTTAATTTAAAGCTAAGCAGAAGAACTAATTTTTCTTAGAAGCAGAACAACAACATCATCCAAGCCTTAATCCCAAAAGATATTGGGGTCGGCTAACATGAATCGATCCATGATATCGATGCCAAAAAGAAAGGACATACAAGAAAGCAAAAAAAAAGATAAAACGAATAAGATAAAGATAAATAAATATAAGATAACAATAACATAAGAATATAAGAAAGATAAAAGATAAAAAAAGATAAAAGAGCATAAAAAGCTAGAAGATAAAAACATCATAAGAACATAAAAAGATAAAGAAGATAAACGATAAATGAAAAAGAGAGAGGAAAGATAGAAAAGAGATCAATCGTCCACGCGTATGTGAGCCCTCCACTTTACCCTCTCCAAAGTCATACTCTCATCCAACCCAAAAAGACGAATATCGGTTCTGATTCTTCTAATCCAAGTCTGTTTGGGTCTTCCCCTCCCTCTCCTCTCTGTCTCTTCCCCCACCCTTCAAGTCGTCTAAGAGGTGCATCACTCGGTCTTCTATAGGTGTTACTCCCACCTTTTGTCTGATTATCTCGTTCCTCAATCAATCTTTCCTGGTATGTCCACAGATCCAACGCAACATATGCATCTCTGTCACACTTATCTTTTCAATGTGACATTGTTTCACCACCCAACACTCTACGCCATACATTACTGCAGGCCTAATTGTTGTTCGATAAAAATTACCTTTCTGTCGAGTCGGCATACCTCAATCTCCATTTAATTCACCATCCTTCTGAATTATGGAACCCAAGTAAAGAAACATATCACACACCGATATCTCCTTACTATCAAGAGTAATCTCACTGTTGGTACCACTTCTACCTCCACCAAACTTGCACTCCATATACTCAATCTTGCTTCGACTCAGTCTGAAACCCTTAGTCTCCAAAGTTTTTCACCATACTTTCAACTTTTCTTTAACACTCGATTGCGTCTCATCAATCAATACAATATCGTCGGCAAACATCATGCACCACGGTATATCTTCTTGAATTTTCTTAGAAGCAGAAGAACTAACTTAAATATACGGAGTACTATTTTTCATTTCATAAGGAAAAGTTCAAATCTGTTTTCCATCAATGGAAACACTCTCTAACAACATATTAATTGCTTAGCTATTTGTGTGGTTAACGTGAGTGTAAAATCTGAACAGGGTGTTATCACAAAAGACAGGACCAATGCTTTTGATATTGCTGGCTTTCTTGTGCACAAGGCCTCAGGAAACGTATAATATCTTTTGTTGGGGAAGAAGGTTTCTATTGTTATCTTAATAATGACTAGGTGATGTATGCCTTTTTTAATAAACTATTATCCTACTAAACATCACTTCATGATTTGTACTTGACATGTTGAAGCGATTGTTAAGGCTTATGAATACGTGAGCTACTCTCTGTTTTATTTATTTATATTTATTTAGGGCTTGTTTGGTTTGTAGATAAGAGTAATATCTACTTTTCAAAGTATTCTTACACTTTGATGGCTGAAACACATTAGTTAACTAATTATATAGTTACTTCTAGTCTACGACTGACACATAGTTACATTAGGAAAACTAAAATCAATCCTTCCTTCCCTACCATCTAAAATCCCCTAAACACATAAGCTCTTAGGGGGTGTTTGGATCTGATTCTTAAAACTGCTTCAGCAGAAGAAGTTGGAGTGCTTGGATGAAAGTGCAGAAGTGATTCTTATGCTCTAAATTACTTCTAGAATCAGTTTTTTTAGAAGTTGGGGTGACCAGCTTCTGAAAACTGATTTTGATTTTGCTTTTGCTTTAAAAAAGAAGCAGAAGCAGAAGCAGAATCGGTTCCAAACACCCCCTTAATGCTCTTTGAATTCAGATCCTTTTTTATCCTCTCCAGTTTGTACTAACTATGCATTTGAAGAACTTTTAAATCTTCAATAGCTGAGTTTTTAGTCACCCTGATCTTATGATGTGAGATCTAACAAAACTTGTTCGTATCCAAACCACAAATACCCATTTCATTCAAGTTCATCAATGGCAAAAGACTTGTTTTCCAAAAGCTCAGCATTTGTCTGGAACCATTATGTACCTCAGGTTGTCTTTCAATACAAGCTGCAAGCATTACTGGTAGAGGGTGTGTTTGGGGTTGAATCTGTAATATTTCACGGGCATTCACGAATCTCTAAGTAACTTGTGCATTGCACCACATAAATTTCTAAGAAAAAGGCTCACATTTTTGCATAAACAATGGATTATACACAAACACATGGATCTTTTTTGGAGTGTGGGTGTGATATACTTCGTAATATGTTGTCATAGTTGCTCAAACCAGAAAAATGGTGCAATTTTCTAGTGTAGGGGCTTGGTATCGCTGTCAATGGTTTCTTTTTTGAACTGTAATAGCAATAGTAGTAGTACTTCCTCCGTAAAAAGGAGCCTTCTCACTTTCATTTTTCAACCGTAACTAAATAATCTTTTCATTTCTAAATCTTTCTATCAATAATTTTAAAAACAATACACTATTACACCTATTTTTTGGATTTATCATTCATTCCATCACATTATTTCATTAGCCGCCTGTATACCCTCAATAATTTATACTCTCTTTCACTATTCATAATCTCATCTACTTTCAAAATGGGAAGATCTTTAGATTACGGAGATAGTAATAAAGAAAAACACAAATATCGCTTCTAGACTTTTGAAAATAAAAACATGACTTAATCATCAAAATTTTCATCATCATTATCATTACCTCAGTGCCGCAAAGGCTCCCATCGACGGTGGGATAAAAGGGGATCAGATGTACGCAGTCCGATGGTCTTACCCTTGTATTAAAGCACGGAGAAACTGTTTCTGAATGACTCATAGTGAAATTCACATCGAGAATTATATGAACCAACTGTTGCTTCATAACAAAGAAGCGCAAACAATTTATTAAGCTAATGTTACTTTATTCCATCATATCCTCAAGTCAAAAAATAGTTAAGTTTTTGGCTCCATTGCAAATGATGGAAAGACTAACCATCAAAAGTTTAACATAAATGCTAGGTGTGCCTTATTTTGTGTACTCCATTCACACATTGTTTGTCTACGCAGACAGACTTGTTTGTATACAAACAACTCCGTTTGAAACTACAAAACTATCTGTATACAGATAACTCTGTCAGCGTAGACAAACAGTGTGTGCGAAAAAGAGTACATAATTCAGTATAGAATAGGGTACCCTAGCATTTCTCAACGTTTAAATAGTTTCGATTGTTTCTCTCCAACCTCTACTCAACTGTCTCATTGTTGCTGACGACTAATGTTTACAATCATCACTTTTTACCTTGACTTTTGAAAAGTTTATCAAACTTTTCAACTAGTGACCCTAATAAAAAGTGACAAGTGATATAATAAAGATTAAAGAGTAGACTTTAGAGTTGAGCTTGAACAGACTAATACGTAAAGAAAAATTAGGTAGTGATAATATTCTACAAGCTAAACATGTATTCCAATTTCCAACTAGTATTCCAGTAAGCCTCATACGGATTATATGCTAGGACAAGTGTTCAAACTAATAAACAGAGGGAAATCTATTTTTAGTATAACTATGACAGGAAGGGAAGGTCTAAATGAACAAATGATGATGATGATGATGATGATGATGATGATGATGATAATAATAATAATAATAATAAATATTGAAAATAATAAGGAAAGTGGATAACTTAAAGCTGGCCCATTCGGCTGCCTCTTCTTGCCTCAACTGTACACACGACCCACAAAGGGGTTGGTAAGAAATACATATAACACATGTCTTGAAACCCAGTAATTGTTATGAAAACAATATTTGTCGTTAAAAAAGAATAGAATTGTGCCAATGGGTTTATAGAATGGTTGTGATTGGTACAAACGGGGTAAATCGGCTGCTGCAATTCTGCAAAGATGTAGACAAAAAGTAGACATCATTTACTTAAAACTAATCTAAATAACATTTCACAACAACAAATGGGGAATTATGACAGAGGCAGAGTCAAGCATTTGTTGGTCAACTGTCTTTAGACCTTGCACTGTCTTTAGACCTGGTACCCCCTTCGTAAGAGGATAGGAAGTAGGCACTCTGATTCTTCTGCAGATGCTTGAGAAAATCCAGCAATATCTGCTGCAAGCTAATTAAAGTCTCCTCCTCGATCTTCACACAAGCAAGTAGCTCAGGCAACTTTACTACAAACATCACCAAAAAAAGGTGATTAGGGTGAGTTTTTGAACTTGGATTCTGACTGAGTTTTTAAGTTTTTGCTTCCAAACTTCATAGAGTGGGTTTCCACAAAACCATGCCAAACAAATCCAGAAGGACCCACACAGAAGTAGGGTGTAGGAGTGACATGCACCCAGACCTTACGTCTACCCCTACAAGTAGAGAGGTTATTTTGATGAAGATCCCAGCTACAGAGTTTTTAGAGCTTTTAAAAAATGCAATTTTTTTAATACCTAATAAATTGTAGTAAGATATATGAAGTACAAAAATGAGATCCAAAAGGACAAACTTGGTGTGAACCGTGGTGGAACGAAAATGTGGACAACGGCAAACAAAGGCATAAAGCAACATCATAGGTAATTCGGTACAATTCAGAATATGATAAATTGATAATATCCAAAAGTAAGCAAACAGCTAATGGCCAAACAGCTCCATACCCCTCTCCCCCCCAAAGCAGTTGCTCTATCAATATTGTGTGTGTCTGAAAAGAGTCATTGATTATTGAGTAAAGTACATCTTCTATTCAGTCAACTCTATCAAAGTAGGAGCTTTTACGAATCATGAGCGCCTATACCCCTAAAACTTATTTCCAAGATTGTCTGGGGTAATTAACTAAGGTTAGCTTGAGTTCATTGTTTTACTTAAAACTAAAATTGACTTTAAACCGACACTGTTTAGGCCCGGCCCGGTACTGTTTGGCCCTGACCCGGGACCGGTAGAAACCGGGTCGGTACCGGGCCCAATTTTTGGATAAAAAAGGCCCGCTGGGACCAGGCACCGGTCCATCCCTAGGACGTTCTAGGCGTGTTTGACCAGAACTTTTTGGTGGATACTGCACCTTTTGGTACTTGTATAGAAGTATTAGACAAAGGTCACATTTATCTATTGAGTTTTTTCTTCTTGGGCATTTTATAATTTAGAGTAGGGCATCTAGGCACACTGGGTACTTGTCTCAGCGGCTAGCGATTTCTGTAACCATGAATAACTCAAGAGCATGAATGAACACAATAAAATGGCCCCCTTACTACATACCAAATAGGCGTAACAGATGTTCAGCACCGTATACACTAGATGGAGAGACATTATCTGAAACTATGCCGTGATATTGTTGGCGCTCCTCTTTGTACAAAAGTATAACCGGCAATGCTTTGTTAAAATATGACCTTATGCCATTGATAATTTCTCCAACTGAATCAGCCATACTGTATCATTTATGCACAAGAGAGGGGAATCACCAAGTGTCTTCGGACTTTGAAAATGTGGAGTAAAGAAAATAGGCAGAACAAAATATTGGTAGAAACTCAACTAATACACATTCGGTATTTGTTCAAACTAATTTTCTTTATTTATTTCTATTATATTTAGACTTGAAATATAAACATTGTGTAATAATTTTAAACACAATAATCAAATCTTAGTTTCCTTTGCATATTCCAAGGGAAAATCAAGCACAAGAAAATAGCTTTCTATACCATCTATCCCCTTTCCCCATCATTTTCCAGGATTCAAACAAACCCAAAAGGTTTCTACTCGAGTAATTTCGCTACTCCTAGAAAGCACATGAGAAGGTATATTTGAAACAACAAGCCCAGATCTTTCGCGCTCATCATGCTTGCATCACTGCAAGACAAAAGCCTTATGAACAAACTGAATATGCTGGGTTTCAACAAAAATCTCAAGTGTCTATTTGAATGGGGGGTTTGGATGGGATGACTTTGGAAGGCATAACCTGTACTTTTATACAAATCATGCAGCCTTTATACCATGGACCGTGCTTGTTATGAACATGACCAGTTACCCAGTTACGAATTAGAAAACATATTACCCAATCAATATGAAAGGAATCGCCATTCAATTAAAGGTAAGCAAGATAATGTAATCTTTGAAAGCAATAGAAACACTCACACTCCATCCTTTTTTGATCGGATTTCAAGATACTTTGTCAGCATATCATCAACAGTGTGAGATCGAGGAAGTTTTACCAGCTGAGAGAAAACAATGTGAAGTTTTTAGCCTGTAAAAATAAGCAGTTTATATTCCAAATAAAAGTTTGAATGCCAAAAACTAGTGGCGCTTTGGACTCTTTTAGATCCATCAAAGAGACAAGGACGATGGACTATTACGGAACGAACAAGTTCCGTAAACCTCATAAGTGCCAGACTCCTTCCTTTACATGAACTAAGAGAGGCTACATATGTAGTACTACAGCAGATTAAAAACAGAAAAACCCACATACCATGTTCTTCTGAGTAATAAACTCCCAATCATCCACAAGTTGCTTCTTTAAAGTTGATGGAATTTGAATTTTAATGAGTTTCTCAGCAGATGCATTGCCCTTCTGTATACGACAAGCCAGATATTCCAAAAGGGTAAGTAGTATTATAATATGATCTGTGGTGCTTTGGCGTGCTTTTTTTCATGGGGTGGGCAGTGGGTGTGCAATTCTGGGTGTGGGAGCAAAGCATTCAAATTAGTAACAGTAGCCAGTAGGCAGTGGAAAGTAGGACCAAAGAGCTTAACGTCAATAAATAAAAAATTTAAAATAGAAGTTCACCTCTGTAGCCGAATCAGCCTTCCGCTTTTTCCCTTTAGCAACTGCAGCACAAGTTCATTTGACAAAACATCTCTTAGAACCAGAGATGAATATGAGAAATTTACAGATAGTTGAACAGCTCAGATACCAAAACAACAACAACATCAACATCCAAGCCTTAATCCCAAAAAAATTTTGGGGTCAACTAACATGAATCGATCTATGATATCGATGCCAAAAAGAGATCAGATACCAAAATAGTGAAAAAAAATTGTATGCTTGCAAATACTACTCATACCATCTTAAACATTTTTATGTAGAAGAAATAAACATGCCTCAATAATTGGATGAAGGAAAAAATACAAGATAGGGCATTAAAAGAGACTCAGGACCAGTTAGCATGGATTATTACAAGATGAAACAAACATATATCAGGCAACCCTCAGCTGTGTAATTACTAAAACAGCAAGAAAGGCAATGGTAGTGGCAACTTTAACAATTGTCTGAGAGAATCTCTATGTTGGTAATTACAGGTTTATAGAAAATCTACTTTACCAAAGAAATTAACAAAACACAAAAGTTTGAGAAACATAAATGACATACCGTTGGCCTTCGTTTCCTCTTTATCAACATTTAGATCTGCCGAATTCATGAATGACAAAAACATCAAACATATAAGTATGTATGTGATTATTTTCACTGAACAAACATATGATTCCCTTCTCATGAATGCATATCAATTATAGGAAGCCTAGAATATTCTTAAATGAGTATTCCATTAACGAGGTGATGCGAGTTTAACAAATTTTTAAGGCGGCAACCTAACTGCTTCGTTCTTATTTATAAGCTGGGGCCTGGGGGTTTAGAAATTCTATTGCAGCCAGGAAATTCGAAGGATGATGTCAGTATGTCTCGTGCAAGGGCCAAGGGCAGCACAAAAGGAACGCAGAAGTGTTATTTGTTATTATTTAGATCTGCCTAATTCATGAATGACAAAAACATCAAGCATATAAGTATGTATGTGATTATTTTCACTGAACAAACATATGATTCCCTTCTCATGAATGCATATCAATTATAGGAAGCATATAATATTCTTAAATGAGTATTCCATTAACGAGGTGATGCGAGTTTAACAAATTTTTAAGGCGGCAACCTAACTGCTTCTTTCTTATTTATAAGCTGGGGCCTGGTGGTTTAGAAATTCTATTGCAGCCAGGAAATTCGAAGGATGATGTCAGTATGTCTCGTGCAAGGGCCAAGGGCAGCACAAAAGGAACGCAGAAGTGTTATTTGTTATTATTAGTTTCTTTTTATTACTTTTAGTATATGTTATCATTATTAGTATTAGTTACATTTCCCTCTGATTATTTGATATATTGAGTTAATATTGCAAATAGTTACTCCCTCCATATTGAAATGTTTGTTACACTTTCCTTTTTGGTATGTATTTTAAATTTTGCTAAACTTTACCTTTTTGCTAAGTTTTCCCTTTAAAAATACTCAATTACCCTTACGTTTTCTACTTTTTATCTTCTCTTTCATATTTGTCCAACCTCTCTCCTACTTTTTCTACACTATCCATTACCCCTACTACTTTTCCCTTAAATATTGTGCCAAACCCTATTGTAGCAAGCATTTCAATACGGAGGGAGTATGTTGTAATAGGTTTAGGGTTACTCTACTAGTTCACCAAGAATCTTAGGGCTAACATAGAGGTTCACTATTCAATTATTCATTAATAATTATCATCAATAATTTTGGAATAATTCATTTATCTGAACTGGGTCCAAGTGTCCAAAGCCACCTTCTCTTACCCAGGGCAGGGAAGTGCTTTATCTTTATTGATTTCAATCATCCTTCTTCATGCCACAAGAAATCATAGGAGCTACAAAGAATGTAAAGAAAACATACCATTGTTAATAGTATCATCTTTTTCATTTCTTGGATCTGTTGAATTCAAGCACAATGCAATCACAATTAACTATATAAATAAATGAAATTGTTCTAAAAAATATGTCATACACCACAGAGAAAATTGTATGAAGAAACTGCGAATCTGAAGTAAGAAGTACTCATTTTTCCTCAGAGTTCATAAATTGATATTTGATACTCCCTCCATCACATTCTAATATTTTTTGCTCTTATATTATGTTTTGATTCGTCCCAAAATACTCTTCATGTTTCCTTTTAAGTTTTAAGGATAAGATTGTGTTGTATATATTGTTTCTTTCCATTTCAAATGCACCTCAAACACACGATTTTATACTCTTAAACTTTGTGTTCACTCAAACGAAGAACATAAGATAGGAATGGAGGGAGTAGCAAAAGTAGGGTCATGAAGCAGTTATTGTGGTTTGCTAGTACACCCCAAAAAAAATCGGACAATTGAATAGTTGAAAATATACCAGCTGAGTTTCTAGGTTTTGGCTGTGATGAACGCCCTTGTTTTGCATTTTTTTCCACTCCCTGCTTCTTGTCAAGGGCCTGTTGCTTACTTATATTCTCATCTGTAAGTTTCATCAAGCGATCAGTGCCGACCCACTCATCCCAACTGCGGCAAGATAATTATTATGCTTTAATAACTAATCTGATATAGTAAATTTTGCAAATGCTCCGGATTCATTGCAACCTTGAAAATCAGAATGAAAGTGGTAGTCTAGAAACTGTTGCAGTCAAAACACATGAGATATACTATACTTACTTCTTGTTCCACCCCTGCAAATACAGATGAAACTCATTACATGATGGAACTCGTATGAAGATTATGGACAGAAAGGTTAAAGAATACAAAATTTGTGGTATATAAACTTCCTGAAAAGGAAGGCCTGGTAGTGGTTATAACTTATATAGAGAAGTTAATAGCACTTACCAAGTAGTGAACAAAATATCTCCATTCATTCTCCCTATGCTCAGATTTTTGGACCTTCAAAGTACAGTAAAACGCATCACGATATAGGAAGTATATTCCAAAAATGGAAGCATGCTAGATACAAACATCTGAATAAAATCACTACAAGCTGGATGTAAACTCTTGGACAAAATGATTTCTGGAATTCGGTTATATCAAGTTTCCGGAAATAGTCTCACTGTGCTTTAGTACAGGGGTAAGACTGCGTACATCTGACCCCCCCTTACCCCACCCTAGGTGGGAGCCTTTGCGGCACTGGGGTAAATGAAAATGATGAAAATGATGATGATTATATCAAGTTTGGTTTGGTTTCTTTTATGAGCAGGTAGGATTATTGTCCGAGATCTGAGAGAAAGAACGAAAGAGAGCCTTTTTGGGTTAATGCTTAATGTAAATTTAATGGGTGCCCAACCTAGTCAAGATATAAGACTCAAGTCCCTAAAAAGATATTAAGGTGGTGTTTGGATCTGCTTCTTCACACTGCTTCTGCTCCTTCGGAGAGCAAAAGTAGATATTGGAGTGTTTGGGTGGAAGTGCAGAAGTACTTCTGAGTGCTCAAAATTGCTCCCGGAAGCAGTTAGCTGGGAGACACCAACTTCTGAAAAACTGATTCTGATCCTACTGCTTTTAAAAAAGAAGCAGGAGCAGAATCAATTCCAAACACACCTAAGAGGTCCCTCATAATACCCATTAGAAGAGACCCAATCATGATAGGAAACATAGAGCTAATAAAAGCTCATTAAAAGTAATAAGGAAATAACAATTATAATATGAATATGAAACTAATACTCCACGGATCCCATGAGTGATCGGAAGTTGGATCCACATTGTATATTTGTATCTCACCTGAACTACTCCATCTATCTATCCCCTTGCAAAATATTGTTAGTACTAGTCATAAACTTATAATACTCCAACTGTCCCAAAATGATGATCTTATACTTTTTGGGTTCAAATATCAAGAAAGTGTGCTAGAACGCCCCGTACACCCTTACTTTATTGTACTGTTCACTCCTTTACATTAATTGTTTATAAAAAAAGGAGTATAAATTGTAATCTACTTTAATTTCTTTACCAAAAACATAAACAGGACTAGCATTTTGGGACAATCCATTTAGAAAATATATGACCACCATTTTGGTGCGGAGAGAGTATAATACTAATAGGAAGATTCCTTCCATAGTACTTCTCTATGTCCTCTTACACAACCCTCACAAGAGACATGTTTAAATCATTACTCCCCTAAAAGATATCAAGCTTGTCCTTTAGACAACAACAACATCCAAGCCTTATTCTCAAAATATTTCAAGCTTGTCCTTTAGAAAAGAGTAATATTGACTGCCAAGCTTATCTAAACCAAACAGCATTGTTTGGAATTTAGGACACAAATAATCACATGAAAACATTTAGTGATCTAACGATTGATGATCTTGATGTGCTGCCTCAGAATGCCAAGGCAACTTTTCCTCATTGACTCTCCAATGCTTTCATTCTTAAATTAGATACAGAGATCTTTTAACAATAGAGAGGTATAGAGTAGTTAGGGTGAAGTTATAGCCAACCATGGTAGGATGGCCACTAATGGCATGGGCAAAGAGGGGGGTTGCTCGTGAATATCGCTGCAAAGGTCACTTTGCTAAAAGATTTGACAAAGAAAATGCATAGGCTTTTCTGGAAGAGGTGGAGGAGTTGAAGTTTATTGGTCCGGATTACTGCTCATCATTGTTGCAGAAGCAAGAAGATGGCATAGGCTTTTCTAGCAGCAGTGTAGGAGTTGAGGGTGACTGAGATCTCTTCTAGATCTGAAGGTAATGCTACTAGTATGGAGTCACTACTCATCATTGTTTCAGAAGAACCACTGAAGGGAACGTCTTGGATACCAATTTGTTATTAGCATTTCAGAATGAGGTAAAGAATGTAAAAGAGTATTTAGGAATATGCTATGTGAAACTAATACTTGGTCAAGACACACAAGCACTATTTCTCCGAAAAGTAGTTTAGCAATATAAGGTCCTTTATAGATATTAAATTTACAAAATATAAGAGTCTTAATTATAATAGGAAAATAACATCAATAAAGCTAATAAGAAGCTGACTAAAAGTGAACACGGAAATAACAATGTTAATATGAATATGAAACAAATAGGGAGTAGCAAATTACCAAATACTAATAGTACTAATTTACTAATTAGTAATACGTGATTACTAATAGAAAACTAATAATAGGGCAATTGCTTCCACACTACTTCTACATGTTAATGCGAGTATGCGACACTCATAGTCTCACACAAGACAATCTCCAATCAGTTTCAACTTTCAACACATGTTTCGGACTGAGAAACTGAAAAAGGTTCCATGAAAAAAACGTGCATTTCTAAGTTTCAGAATTTCCAAATCTCCGACTTCACTTTTACTAAGCCCGTTCCTCGAAAACACTCATTGTTACAGCCTATGTAGTTTTTAGAAAGAACTCTTGATTGTCACAAAGAAGTATGATGATACTCATTCACACTATGAATGAACAGCTTTAGGATTTCACATTATGAATGAACAGCTTTGGGATTTCAATTACGCCCTAATTAAACTACACTACATACCAACTAAGAACGAAATTAAATTCTATGAAATTACAGTACTCTTCTGTAACACTCCAAGAGATTCTCCGAATATAATAAACATCAACTTTCCGCAGTGAAATAATTATCAATGTATGTTTTGATAATTTCTGGGCTCGTGATGAAGAAACAGAGGCTTGCCTTAGCTTTGTAGATGCGAGGGCCATGGTAAGCGAGAACCTTTTCTCCTTCGGAGTATAGGCTGGAATTCGAGATCCGGACGCCAGGAGAGTTGTCGCTATCCGTGGCAGACGCGTCCTTGGAACTCACCATTTTTATTCGAATTTCACATAAAATTCTTCAATTGTTCAACTGTTTGCACAGGCACTTCGATTTTATTGCAACACCGCCGTTGTCATAGATGTCTGCTGCAGTGCTAAATTTCCTGCAAAAATCGCCAACGGTTATCCGTTTCTTTCTTTCTTTTCCAAATTTCGGTGTTTCAAAATATACTATGGGGGAAAACTGTTACACAAACGACCTGTTCTATCCAGTCGTGGAGGATAGAGATAGGCTTCGGGCAAAATGATGCTACCCAACTTATACCCACCAGATTTGTAAGCTTTTTTTGTGTATGAACCGGATTCACAAAATGCAATTGATTCAGAGACTACAAAAGCTTTCATAAACATCGGTGGAATGGTGGGTACAAAAGTAGGTATAAGAATGTGTACAAACATCATTTTTGAGATCTGGGCATTACTACCCGCACGGGTAGCTCAGTTGGTCGAGTGGTGGGAGATTTGGATCAATGGACCAAGGTTCGAATCCCCGCAGTGACCGGGTGGAGGTCACAGAACCTGAAATAAGTCTGGGTCTCTGGTGCGTACGGGTGTATGGGTCTACTGCCATTCTGCTGACTGAGTCACCGTGACTAACCTCCTCACCATCATGTCGGTCGGGGTGGGGGGCTCCTGGGATGGGAGATTCCACCTTTTTTGGATCAATGAGATCTGGGCATTACTAAAAGGTACGTAGGGATTAGTAATGCACACTCGCTTGACGAAAAATCAAAATGTCTTTTGGGTGTGGTTTGGTTCGGTTTTAGTTTGGTTTTATTCGATTTTTCTCGGTTCTAATTCAGTCCGATTTAATACGGTTTGTAAGAAATACTATCAAATTGCATATGGTTCAATTTTGTTTCGGTAAGGTTCAGTCAAATCAAACTAATATGTCACCTCTAGTTTAACGTTTTTTAATACCCCACATTTTAGTCATACATAGTTAGCTTGTTGATAAGTAAAATACTTTTATTTGAAGTGTCTGTCGAACAATTACACATTTTCCCATATAATTATTTAAAAGAGTCCCGCTTCGTGTACACACCGAGTTACACGTCGGGTTACACGTCGGGTTACACGCCGGGTTACACACCGGTCAAATTGTCTGTATATACAGACAATTGGATCGGCTAGACAGACAATTTGATCGATGTTTTATGAAGAAAATCGATTCCCATACAGACAAAATATAAAGATTTGTCTGTATCATAGACATTTTAAACCTGAATTTTTCATAAAGTGTCTGTGATACAGATTTTTTTTTTGTCTGTGTGGGAATCGGTTTTCTTCGTAAATCGCCGCTCAATATGTCTGTGTAGTCAATCAAATTGTCTGTACACAAACCATTTGACAGGCGTGTACAAACTTGGCGTGTACAAAAGGAATTTTCCTATTTAAAAAAGATAACATGGATCTCATGAGACGGGTCACCGGAAGGAAAGGGCCGCCACCGTTGCTGGTCCTCATGAGTCATGATGGGTTGTAGTGATCATCGGAAGGGACAAGAGGTGCCCCCTTGATAAATGAAAAATCGGATTGATCATAATCATTTTGTATCTTTATTATTAGATTACTTCTTTATGAATTTTTATATGCATGTTCTGAGAGTAATTCTTGGTGTACACAAAATGTGTACACAAATTGTGCATTGCTGGTGTAAACATGCATTTTGGCATAAAATTTCGTCGTTTTTCAAATGAAATATCTGTGTACACAAGTAACTATGTGAGTTGTATAAGTTGTGTACTAATTCAGTGTACAACAAGAATTTTTATGATTCTAATCCCATCCGCGTCAAGGGTAGAGTTGCAATTTGCAAAGAACCGCCCAACTACGGTTAATAAGCTTGTGCTTTCTAGCAAGGTTATTCCCAAATTAAACTTAAGTATGGATTATACAAGAAAATTTGAGCTGAATCCACATTTTTCTCACTTCAATGCCATCTCAGCCAAACATAAAACCCAGATCATCATAATATTCTAAATACATGTATTCGAGAAATTCTTCCATATAATTTATATGTGACATCTTTAATCAGATTGAACTACTACGTATTACATTATTATTATCATCCCTATTTTCCAGGTACTTGTGCACCTTCAAAATGAGAGAGTGACATATGGAATTTGATTGTAGACACGTCTCAAACTACATATTAATGAGTCATCGTATCTATCATGTGCGGAGATTTCATAAGCTACTGATCAAAATAATAGTTGTCACACAATTCTGGGTCGTGCAAATTGTGTACGTCTTGTTACCTCTCATCTCCGGCGAATGCCTCATGCAGTCATGCTCCAACCTCAAGGGAGGGGGGTCTTTAGTAAGATTTTTACCAGGCAAATCCCCATTTTGAACAAGGATGTTTGATCCTCCTATCTTGGGAGGGGGTGTCATTCAAGCCCACACAGAGTCATCAAGGGTGGCACGGGTGGCGGTCTCCTAGAAAAGAGGAGAACTACTTTATATGTTTTGACCTCATGTTCACTCGTCTCAATTAAGAAGCGGAGGATTGAGGTGATACAATATATGGACTCGGATCCCCGATCTCACGACTATTAGACCTAGATAGTGGCACACTCATTTATATTATTGTACACGTTAGTTTATTCATTTATACCCATTAGATTAGCTTTTATACCATTTATTAGCTCTTTTATGTAGTTGGAGTCCATAATAGCGACTCATCACACTCTTTTCCTATATATACTCTCATTGGGAGGTTGTAAACCAAAAACATATATACTCATACACAATTCTATACTATTCGTTTTCGTCATTCTTATAGCTCAATCTCTCTAATGTACATGTTTGGATAGCCCTATTATCCATCACGGACACTCAAACTCTGCATCAATCACATCATAATGGAAAATATCAAAATTGTTTAAAAGGAATTCTTGAATATGAAGGAGTTGAAAGTGTAGCCAAATCGCAAACAAAAGCAAATTATGCCCTATGTGTGGCGTTGTAACAATGATGGAAAGCTAAAGAATGATAAGTTCAAACTTGTACCCCGTTTCACCTCGAGTACTCCTGCCTCAAGGAGTGAGATATTCCCGATGAAGTATATATATATATATATATATATATATATATATATATATATATATATATATATATATATATATATATATATATATATATATATATATATATATATATATATATATATATATATATATATATATATATATATATATATATATATATATATATCTCACATTTGGGCTTGTGACTATTGTGTTTTAACAACTGTTCACATTCATTGGAATGATCATTTCAATTAATTTAATGTAGTACTTTGTATTATAGGGAGTATTACCTTTTCCTCTAGCTTTCACCTCTTTTAAAATTAGATCTTGAGATCATTGATGACTTCACTATGGCTATTTTTTTCTAGTTCAACTCACAATTTAGTTTTGAATAGCTATCCAGAATGGGAGGTCGGGCATGCTTAAGATAATAACCTTTTGACACAAGTATTAAGATTCACTTTGTTAGTATATAGTTATATACTCCATTTGTCCCACTATTTTGTACGGACTATACAATAAGAACTTACACACACATTAATCTATCCAATTCACATTCAATCTGTAAAACAAAAATGATTAGAACAACATATATAATCTCCCAAGTTTTGACACAAATGTTAAGATTCATTTTCTCAGTCTAAATATTTTGCTACTCCTTTTTCACTATATCATGAAATGAAACATCAAACATAGGAGGTTACAAATATGCAAAAGAATGTAAATTATCTGTCGGGTGGATAGTGTGTTAAACGACCAATGTTGTTTGTAAACCAATGTGTAAAACTATAAACCAAGACTTAAGCCCCAATTGTTTACGTCTGTGTAACAAAAAAAAGTAGAACTAGTACATAACTCAAGTGTAGAGATAGCATTGCTCATGTGATCATATTGAAAAATATGACAAACAAATGCATGAGAAAAATTGCACCAAGTAGTAGTACAATATATACATCACTCACTCTTCCCATTCAAGATTGGGGCTCCTGACTTAGGGTAATTGACTAAACCAATTAAAGATGTGGAATTTTATGAAAACAAAGACAAGGCCACCAAACAGAGCCTTAATCAAGAATCTTCATCTTCATGATTCAATCTCATCAACGAACTCATTCCATTCTTTGTCTTCCTTAATTTTTTTCATTACTCCTTCAACAGCCACATCAAAAGCATCCTTCACATGCTTGAGTCCAGTTTTCGGCCTTGCATAGATCAATTTGGGCATAGTCTCCACCACTTTCTCCCTCATTTTCCTGATCTTCTCTTTGCTATACTTCTCCAAGATTCCTCTAATAGACACCGACCCATTCTTCACCCCATTGGGGTCTATGAACACAGAGTAACTCTCTGGATCCTCTGCTAAGAACCACTGGTACTGCTCGTAAGCCGTCTCCCTCCAGAAGAACACTGGAACTGAACCCGCGATCATACAGTCGAACACTGACCGTCGCGTCTTGCTGTCCCCTGCGGGTTGCAAGCAGAAATCCGAGCTTAGGAAGGCGTCCTGGATAACGGAAGGATTGACAGAGCACTGAGTCACCGAGCAATCAACGACTCGGGTGACGTCAGACTGGTTACGGCAGTAGTGGATGAGGAGATTTCTGAAGTCTTCCTTTACGTCTGCGCGTGTGGCTCCGACGAAGGAGAACAGACTTGTGCGGTTGCGTGAGAGTGTGTACTGCTGCCATAGGCGGAGCTGGGAGTCTGTACTGGGGTGGAATCCGGTGGGGTAAGGCACACCAACGTCGTAGATGTCCCACGGCGCCTTCTCGATCGTGAAGCGCGTGACGTTCGCCATCTCCGGCAGGTTGAGGAGGGCGGATCCCCATTTCTTCCCGGCATCCGCTAAACGGCGGAAATCCCATGTGATTCGTCCAATCGTGAGGAAATGATCTGAGCCTTTGGACTTCTGCCAATAGGTTTGATTCTGGACCCACTTGAGCATCATATTGCAATGCCAATCGCGCTTTTCTATATCATCGATCCACAAATACTTCCCAACCGCGAGTCCAGCGTAGAAAGGAATGTAGAACGCCGTAGCAGATTCCGGCTCCATCGTCCTACACCGGTAGTTCAGGAGCCGGTGGTGGAAAATCACCTCCGACGAGAACTGATTCGTCTGATACCACGCCGTCGCGACGTTCATCGGCAAGATCCTGGCTAAATCCCTCGTCCTCTTCCCGTATCCGGCGTTGATGTTCAGCCCACACTGCCAATTCCACGGATCCAAATCCGTACAGTTCTTCAAAATCAAATCCTTGTTAAACATGGTCGGCAGGTCGTAGACGTAAACCCTACC